CCGGATTTGGACTCTTTGGTTCAGATTAAGAACCGTGACAAAATCGAGTCCGAACTGTAGTAGCGGCCCCCCACGCGGGCGCGTCTACAGTTTCTGGCGACTCTGCTGGGGAGTTTAGAGAGCTTGACTCGAACTCGGGATATCCTGTTTTGATTTCATTTATGTGTCTCTTTGCATTGCATGTGCATTGGTGCGCCTAGGACACCGTGTTTGCCATCTGCCATTCCTGAACGGTTTGCTGGAGGCTTGTCTTGTCAAGGCATGACCATAAGGCTGACCTGTTATGGGCTCTGACAGTATAGGAGTACAAACCCCGATTTTTTCCGAGGCACCCTCTTCGACCATTCGACCTAGTGCATATCGAGATCCATAGTGACCATTCCAAGCTAGGATAGGTTGCTTACTCGATCATAGGTTGTTTGAAACCGTTGCGTACATAGTGAAACCCTAGCTCCTGACAAAATAGGACAGGGAAATCCTACCCCAACATAGGGGTGTTTTGGCTCTCACTTATCTGCTATGTGCTTTAGAGTTTATCTCTACAGGAACGTACATATCAGTTTGCAAGTTTGAGTACTAGGCCCGAGGGCACCAGTATCAGTGTTGTCGAGAAATCAGTTATATCTGCGGGTATCAGTTCAGTTTTGAGAACAGTGATTCTGGGGAACAGTGATCAGTAGTAGAGTGCAGTTGTTCGGCTACACCTGTATTCGATCCGTTTGGGCTGAAATGCTGCTTGCTTTTCCTTTCAGTTCAGAGAGTTCAGAGAGTTGATATAGAATAGCCAGTGTTCCCCCTTGCTGAGGCAGGACTTATGATGACGCAAAATTCAAAAGAGACTGTGGTTATGACAGTCGCATTAGGTCAAAGAATCAGTTTGCAGGGCGAGACCGATGGTGATGCACCACATCCGCCCAGGTCGCCCATTGCACACCCAATCTGGGCACCCCAATTATATCAGGCTCGCGAGCCCACCACGTTCGAGCTGATGGGAATGATAGGTGACCTCCAAAGGTCCGTGGCAGATCTCGCCTACGGAATGTTAGCTTGTCCACCAGCTGCACCGTATGCCGGGAATTTCATACCACAGGAACCCCCGCTACTAGGGCGGATTGTAATCGAGCTCAGCCAACCAGAGGTTGCCTCCAGCTACAGCAACGACGTGTCAGCAACAACCGGGCTTCGCTCTGATGTAGTAACCCAAACCCCCGATCAGGCTGAGGCCAGAGGCAAGAACAAAATGAAGGCAGATGCCGATCCCATTGAACAACTGCTGTGGGCAGTCGAGGCTCTGAAAGCCGGGGGAATGAAGAAGCAGCAAGTGTCTACAGTCATGACTAAAGCTGTGGATGATGCTTTCCCCACTCCAACCGAAGGCAGTTCAAGCCAGGTAGAAAATCGGGATGGGCCCCGTCATGCCAAGACAATTCCTCTCATTCCCAACCCTGCACCAGGAAAAGATCAGAAAGCCAAGACAGTGCCAGCCAACCCTTTCGCTAGTGCGTCTAGCAAGAATCCTCAGACTTCAAAGTATCTGCCTCGAGGACGCAGAGTCTTTCATACCCTCTACATGCCTTTGTCTAGGGCATTTCAAATATTGGCTAAAAAGGGGCATCTTAAACCCCTCGAGCCTCGGCCCCTCCCGAAGAATCTCCCTCTCTCACATGATGCTACCTTGTACTGCGCGTACCACCTATAGTCCGGCCACAGTACCGATGGTTGTTTCCGCCTTCGTCATGAAGTGCAAGATTTGATCGACAATGAGGTCATCCTCCCACCTACCTCAGCAAAGTCTGTCGCCACTTACAGTGTCAATCTTCTTCAACAAATTTAAAATGTACAACATCCAAGCTAAATTTGTTTGTTAGCTTAATTTCACTTTTATTCGCTAAATTATCATAAAAATTTTAAATTTAATTTTAAAATATCAATTTGTTAGTTTCTGATTTTTGATCATGAGATCCGATTGACGATGATTGTACATGTCAATAACCATTGAAACTCAATTTAATGGGTAAAAATATAATTTTATAACGTGAACAACTGAATTTATACAACCAAATACTCTTTCGAGTGTTGTTTGTTCAAAATAGTAAGAAAAGCAAGTATTTTTGTGGTATGGATTAAGTTGTTCAATTTTATTATTATTTTTTAATCAAATTAACCTTTTAACAATTATTGATTTGTATAACCATCTCCAATTGGATCACATATATAGAAATTAAAATTTTCAAGAACTAAATAAATGAAAACGACTGTTTAGGGATTAAATAGGAAACAAAATAGTGATAGTTTGGGGGCCTAAATCATTTGGTGGACCAGAAGTTTAATGATAAAATTCACTCAGATTCCCTTTCCTTCATTTTGCTGTGGAGTAGTTTCTGTATTATCTTTAAAATGGGAAATGTCAGATGCGGATAAATACAAGGTCACTGCATAAAGAATGGATTGTAGAATCAACATATTCAATTGTATTTTGATCATATTTTTGTAATTATACATATCCATATATTTGCTGCGATATTTTTCACATTTTTTGTTGGTAGAAACAGATGTTGTATTTCACATGTTGGTTACAAATTTTTGGTTGCATATGTTAGAAATTAATTAATTTTAGGACGTGGGAACCTGGGTTACATTTATCAACATGTGTTTTCTCTTTTTGTCCAATTTGGGTCAAGTTCTTCAATGTCCCTCTTGAACTATGGACAGAGGAGGGACTTTCTTTTGTTGCAAGTGTAATTGGGAAGCCTCTGTTTCTTGATGAACCTACCCGATTGAAGAGCAGGTTGACTTTTGCTAGGGTGTGTGTGGTAGTTGATGCTACTAAGGAAATCCCAAACTCATTTAAGATCAATTTGGGGTATTGTGAACCTTATGAAATTAAGGTTGAAGTCTCGTGGAGACCTTGGAGTCAGAGGCATGATGTTTCTATGGCAATTGGGGAGGCTTCTAACTCTCTCCCCTCCGGGGCAGGGGAAAAAGGGAAAGATGTAGTGGAGGATAGCACATTTGCATCCACTTCTATTATGTTTGATGTTCTTGATCAACTAAAGAGCATGGAGGGACCTAGCGGTGACAACACTGAGATGATCCTTATGCCTTGTCCATCCTCATCTACAAATCTTGATGTGCTAGCTTCATGTGCTCCAATTGCGGAGAATTCAAGGGGGCAGAGAAAGAGTAAGGGAGAGGATAAATTATTTTCTTCAAATAAAGCCAACCCAAGTGGCCTTGTGGAGATCAAAATCCTGGGTACAAATGAAAAGGAAATTGAGGGAAATCTGCCAAGAGAATTGGTTGAAACTCTAGTGAAAAAGGAAGATGGACTGGTCTTAGGGGAATGTGAATTGTAGCAGTTGCAAATCTTTTTTTATCAAACCAATTGAGCCATGCCCAAAGCCTTCAAGTAAGTTTACAAGTTCAAAGAATGGTAGCCTAATAGTTTACCTTGTGTTTTTGTGTTTTTTTTGTGCTTATCCTCTCGAGTTGTGAGAGCTCTTTTGTTTTCCTTTCCTACCGGGCATGAGAGGTTGCTTATATGCACACTGGAGGACCTGTCTTGAGCTTTGCTGTTTTATATATTTTTTGTACAAAAATCTCACATACCAAAAAAAAGTGATGTCCTGAATTGGAAGCATTTTTATCTAGTTTGCCAGTGAAGGGCATCCCCAATGTGGAGAAAATACTAAAAGCATATCTCAAACTCTGTATCCGAGAATGAATAGAGAATGCCCACGCGATACAAAGATTCCAATTTTTCTATTGATCATTATCATGGTGGTTAGCTAGCTCCCTTCGTACTAGTTGGAAAGAATTCCAATTTTACGGTGTATGTTTTTTAAAGCTACCTCATGAACAAGTTAAAAAATAATAATAATAACAATATTGAATTTGTTCATAGCCACAAGGGAATTGCCTGGTTAATCTTGTAGTAGTTTATTCCATGCAATTTCTTCATTTCATCTATGGCAATCCACCAGCCTACATGAAATCTATCACCTGGTCGCACAGTTCTTATTTATTTATATTTAAAATTTCCCTGGAATAAACTAGTGATATCCATTGAGAAAATGTTCTTAAGACGTTAAAATCTTTGGTGCATAGCAAGTCCTAATTATGAAGAGTCTTTCGGGGGAGTTTAATGGTTCATAATAGAGCAAACTTTGACTCAATTACAGGCAAACTTTGACAGACTAGTAACAACTCCGAACTGTCTTCTTCTTCTTTTTTCATGTACTCTCAAAAAACTAGATTGTAGGGGAAACTTCTCTGTAAATGGATAGAAAGCTCTCTCACCACTGCATATTTAGGGGAAATTTTACTTCAGGGGTTACTTTGAAAATAATTATAAATAAGTGATAAATTTTATAAATATTAATAATTAAAAAATAAACATTTTCATGAATCTATAATAAAGTTTTAAACCTATCACGGATGGGTAATCTTCTCAAAAATTTATAATTGGACATTTGTGGAAATTTAGAGATTATGCAAACATACAAACTGTACTAATCCACTGTATTCCAATGTCATAAGTCGTGTAACGTATAGTGTTGGGTTAGGGACAGAACCAAAATTCTAGCTTGAGGTGCAAATGTTAATAATGGGCTAGTATTAGAAGTTTTTTTGAAAAAATAACTAATAAAGTCTTATTTAGCTTTTAAAATCATTATAAAGTTCTATTAATTTTGAATACGGACAATTAAATTTTATTTTTTATAACATATTTTCAAAAAATTTATTGCTCTATAATGGTAGTGTTAGCACCATAAATCTATAATTATTATTATTATTATTGATAAATTGCAGGACACATGGCACTCTCCTATTCATTTGGAGGGTATGAGAAGTTATGAAGATATGGAGAGATATGTGGCATTATGGGAATGAAAATAAAAGAGTGGTTAGTTTTAGGTGGTTATTGGATAGTCATTGCTGTAAATTTTTTTCTACAAATATTTGCTTATAAATAGCCATTCATAGCTACATTGCAAAGACTCAAATTCAGATCCAGAAGCCAGTCATTTACTTTATATTTCTTTCCAGTTTTACATTTTCAGTTCTTTATATTTCAGCATTTCAATTCCTGTACCGCACTTCATTTTCTAGGAGTAGTTTCAAGTAGTCATTGCTGTAAATATTTTCAAGACTGGATCATTTCATTGTAAGTTCTTATCTACTTAATGAAATTTAGTTTCTAAATTGTTCTGTATTTGTTATTGTGTGTGTCAATTTCCGACCACACTGCCAATCAAGCACTCAATTGGAGAATACTGACAAAATAGATTAAGCCCGAATGACCTGTCACAAAAAGAAGAGATTCCGGCGGTGGTTCGTCCATCCAGGGGCACTCCGACGATCAAGTCAGTTATCTCTCAAAGATAACAAAAGTGATTAACTCACTATTCAGAGCATAAAAAGCATACCTTAGACCCATGAGGATACCTCTCTTTTATAGCCAACACAAACCTAGTCCCAATAGAAGACTAGCTTCAATGGACTTAGGATTACTACTAATTTTGGACTCCTAGTAGGATTGGGATAAACTCTATAAGAATCTTATCTTTACCCAAACTGAAGTCCTCTCTCATTCTAGGCCTCTTGTCCCTTATCCGCTTATCTCGGATTTCGGTATCTTCGCAGATAACCTCGGCCTAGCTGAGATGATCTCGACGTCATGACCAGGACACGTGGCACCTCGGCTGGCACTTTGGTGATACATCGGCCACATGTTGTCATTCAAAAATTATGTCTCCACAACAGCCCCTTAGGTTCTATTACTTTGGCATCTTGAGGTGATGAAACCTATATCATTCCTTCCTTTAATCATGACCCCGGTTTAACTTCAACTTGTAAATTTTTCTTAAAATTTCAACAAGTGTTAAACATAATCTCGGTTTAACTTCAACTTGTAAATTTTTCTTAAAATTTCAACAAGTGTTAAACACATCCTCGGTTTAACTTCAACTTGTAAATCTAAATTTCAACAAGTGTTAAACATGACCTCGGTTTAACTTCAATTTGTAAATTTAAATTTCAACAAGTGTTAAACACATCCTCGATTTAATTTCAACTTGTAAATTTAAATTTCAACAAGTGTTAAACATGACCTCAGTTTAATTTCAACTTATAAATTTTTCTTAAAAATTTCAACAAGTGTTAAACACGACCTCAGTTTAATTTCAACTTGTAAATTTTTCTTAAATTTTAACAAGTTTTAAACACGACCTCAGTTTAACTTCAACTTGTAAATTTTTTTTAAATTTCAACAAGTGTTAAACCAATCTTGGCTTGAAGATTCCAACTCCTAAGCATCATTCTCCAGCCCTCTGCATAGCTTCTACTTATTCCTTTGTGGACCTTATATAAAAAGTCTTTAACTTAGGCTGAGCTTTTCTTTTCTCGGACTTAATCATCTAGGCCGAGATCTTGTCTTCTGGGATTCTCCATGCCCGACCTCCCGCGAAGGCCAGTGAGAATGTCCCTTGGTCCCGCCATGCTGAGGGAGTGTAGGAACCGTTTTCTGCCCCCCTTTCTGGGCACCTTTCTTGGCCGCTGGAATCGGCGTATCTTGTAGCGGGAACAGTGGCTGCATGACGTTGTTCTGCATCAGGAAATTGACGACCGCTTGCAGGTCCGCCAATTTGTTCATTATTCCCTTCATCTCGCCGTCCCTCTGCAGGCATCTATCTTTTCATACTTGGAAGTCGTTCTCGTTATAATACCCGCTCCGGTCCGATTTCTTCGGTACGCCGCCCTCCTAGCCGACGTTCTTTCCTCCGTGATTCTTATCACGAGTCTCTTCATTGCAGTTGTCTTCTTCGACGTCAAGGTCAATATGTTTCCCACTCTCAGTAGGGTATCGTCCCCAACCTTCTTTTTCTGTCCGTCGTTGGCCATATATTCTCATTTCTTTTCCACAAATGGCGCCAAATTGTATGTGTCAATTTCCAACCACACTACCAATCAAGCACTCAGCTGGAAAACACTGGCAGAATAGATTAAGCCCGAACGACTTGTCACAAAAAGAAGAGATTCCGGCGGTGGTTCGTTCACCCGGGGGTACTCCGACAATCAAGTCAGTTATCTCTCAAAGATAGCAAAAGTGCTTAACTCACTATTCAGAGCATAAAAAGCATACCTTAGACCCATGAGGGTGTCTCTCTTTTATAGCCAACACAAACCAAGTCCCAATAGAAGACTAGCTTCAAAGGACTTAGGATTACTGCTAATCTTGGACTCCCAGTAAGATTGGGATAAACTCTCTAAGAGTCTTATCTTTATCCAAACTGAAGTCATCTCTCATTCTAGGACTCTTGTCCCTTATCCGCTTATCCCAAATTCTGGTATCTTCGCAGATAACCCCCGCCTAGCTGAGATGATCTCGGCGTCATGACTAGGACACGTGACACCTCGGATGGCACTTTGGTGACACTTCAGCCACGTGTTGTCATTCAAAAATTATGTCCCCACAGTTATCTTTTATAAATTTCTCCTAAAACAAGCCACCAATAAAAGTCCTCTTCATTGAGGCTGCAAGAACTTCAACACAATCGTTTGATAATTAGTTGGCAATTAAAATTCTGTAAGGATTTATTGATCCTTGTTGGCACGCTTAAATTTACTCTATTAACCCTTGAAAGCCAAAAAAGTCCACATATATTTTTTGGCATGCCCAATGGGACTTTTATAATGGTTAGACGTAGACGACAAGGAGAAAATGAGTGCCTTGAAGAAGGCATAAAAGAAAAAATGACAAACGAATTGAATTTTGCTATTCAAATTTGTAAAAATGAAATATATTGGCGTGAAAGAAAAATTTTGGACTTTCAAGAAGAGATCTATTTTCTTGATGAAGAAAATTTCCAAGTTGTTTCTTCATTATCATATTATTTGGCAGAAGAAAAAATACAACATTAATTAGAGTAATTCATCAACTTGGTGTAGAAATATGCCAATGGAGACATGAGTTATCAACCCTTCTTGTCAAGTCTTCAAGAACTGAATTTTGTGAGGTTTTACAAAATGTTTTCAAGTCATTTATAACTGAAATTAGTGAAAATATAATTTCATCAATGGTTCGGGGGGTTCAAGAGCCTATTTTTAAAGAGCCAAATTATGAAATTAACATAACGAAAGAACATATTCTTGAGCCAAATTTGGCTTAGAATGATGTTTCATGCATGACTCGAGGGGTTAAAAACCCCATTTTAAAGAGCCAACTTATGAAAATAACATGGCTAAAAAGCATATTGTTGAGCCAAATATGGTTAAAAATGATGTTCCATATAAGGCTCGAGGGATTGAAAAACCCATTCTTAGAAAGTCAAGTCATGGAAATAACATGTCTATGTAGGATTTTCATAAACCATTAATGGCTAAAAAAAAAACCATTTGTCAATGAATGATGAAAGTTATTTGGCTAAAGAACATGTTCTTAGACTAAAACTGATTAAAGATGATGATCAATCCACTATTAACAGATTTAAAATATTTGACATTGTTAAAAATGTCATAGTATTTGAACTTCCAAGGCTATATTAAGCCATGACTTTCGGTGTTCAAAATCTATTTTGGATTTGTAGGTTGCATCAAAATTTAATTTTGATGAAATGACTAATAAAACAATCATCTTTAAGCATTGTTTTGATGAGTTTGATGCACTAAAGAACAAATTAATCGTTTGAAGGGTAGAACTCGGCTAAGAGTGGCCAAAGCACTTCGAAGGTATATCAAAGCACTTCGAGGTCCATATATTTGGTTCGAAGGTAATTTGAAACTCGAAAACACTTCAAAGTGCCATATATTTAGCTCGAAGGTAGGTTAAAGCTCCCTCAAAAGAACTTCGAAGGTCTATATATTTGGTTCAAAGGTAATTCGAAACTCGAAAACACTTCAAAGTGCCATATATTTAGTTCGAAAGTAGGTTGAAGCTCCCTCAAAAGCACTTCAAATGTCTGTATATTTGGTTTGAAGATAATTCGAAACTCGAAAACACATCAAAGTTCCATATATTTAGTTCGAAGGTGGCTCGAAGCTCTCTCAAAAGCACTTCGAAGGCTAATATATTTAGTTAGAAGGTAATTCCAAACTCTGCAAAACACTTTAAAGTAGTGTAATTTGAAAAGTTTGTATGTTGTTTGTCATTTCAAAGCAATTCGAAGTAGTACAATCGGGAGTGAAAATATATGGCTAAGGTCTGAAGAATCATGCTTCAAAGGTCTTGAAATTTCCATAGTTTCATGATGCATCAAAGGTCTCAAAGTAAAGCATAGAAGGGCCAACTGTTACTAATGGCTCAAAAAAAATAACATTGGCATGCATTGTGACTAAATCAAATTGGTCACCATTTCAAACACATGCAAAATAATCCAATTTCGAAAAACACATTAAAATTCGAAGCATGTGAACTTATTTTAATTATGTTTTGAAACCTTATAAACTCTCCAAGTAGGTAGCTATTATGCATTCAAAGCTTTTAAAACTTCTAAAATATGTCGTGAGCACCTTCGGAGCAATGTTTTGGATCTTTTTTAACAAAATTGAATCATGTTGTATAATAAAAGAACCTTCGAATGTGTGTCTTCCTTCAAATACATTAATTAATTGCCAAGTATGGTCTATATTAATATACAACTTTTCATGAATTCAAGGTTCCTCATTCTGAAAAGGCTGCGGGGGGTAATGTTGGCACTATAAATATGAAATTATTATTATTATTATTATTGATAAATTGCAGGACACTTGACACTCTCCTATTCATTTGGAGGTTATGAAAAGTTATGAAGACATTGAGGAATACGTGGCATTATGGGAATGAAGATGGAAAAGTGGATAGTTTTAGGTAGTTATTGGGTGGTTATTGCTGGAAGTTTTTTTCCTAGAAATATTTGCCTATAAATAGCTATTTATGACTACATTGTAAAGACCCAAACTCAGATCCAGAAACCAGTCATTACTTCATGTTTCTTTCTAGTTTTATATTTCCAGTTCTTTACATTTTAGCATTTTAATTCCTGTACCGCACTTCATTTCCTAGGAATAGTTTCAAGTAATCGTTTCTGTAAACATTTTCAAAGCTGCGTCATTTCATTGTAAGTTCCTATTTACTTAATGAAATTCAGTTTCTGAATTGTTCTGTACTTGTTATCTATTATAAATTTCTCCTAAAACAAGCCACCAATAAAAATCATCTTCATTCAGACCGAAAGAACTTCAACACAATCGTCTGATAATTGATTGACAATCAAAATTCTGTGAGGACTGACTGATCCATACTGGTACACTTAAATTTATACTATTAACCCTCAAAAGCCAAAAAAGCCAACAGGTAAATGTTATCTTAATTTTATCCCTTATTTAATATGAACAACAATTTCATAGACATTTTTTTTTATCTAAGTAGGATAATATTTTTTTAATTGTAAAAATTATGATATTATTTTTAAAAAATAATAAATCCAATGAAAAAATTATCAATAAATTCTATTTTGTTTTGAAAATTATTATTGAGTTACATCAATTTTCAATATTAACAAATAATTTTTTTTATTTATAAATTGTTGTTAAAAAATTCAGTTATACAAAATAGTATATTTTATTTTCATTTTATTTTTTCATTAAAATATGAACAAAAAATTTCATAAATAATTTTAATTTATTAGAAATCTTATAATTCAATTATTTTTAATTTTTCAAATCAAATGATTTTTCATAAACAAAATTATAAGTGTAAGATTAATAATTTTTACAATTAAAATTGAGTTAAAATTAGTTATAAAATTGTTGTTCATATTAAATAGGAAGGGTAAAATTGGAGTAAGACACACTATTATGGAGCAATGAACTTTTTGAAAATATGTTATGAAAAATAGGATTTAGTTGTTTATATTGAACTTTGATAGGACTTGATAGTAATCTTAAGAGCAAAATATGACTTATTAGTTTTATTTTATTTTTTTAAAATCTTGGGAGATGAACTTGTATAATTTGATAATATTCATAACAAATACTTTAGGGATGCAATTAATACAAATTAAACATTAGGGATCAAAATGAAAAAGAGGGCATGCTTAGGACAATTTATGTAATTTATCGTACAAGTATATATACACATAACAAATATTTATTTTGTAACATTAATCAACCCTGATTAATTATTATTTTGTTTTACTAGTTTCATCTTTAATATTTTTTGACATCAATTAGACTAAATCACAAAGGGTTGGTCGTATGTGGTAGACACATAAAGATAAGATTTATCGTTCTGAGTTCAAGTCACTGCTAAGGACTCGTTGGAAGTTTATTTGGTTGTTAATTTTAGAGTTTCGAGATTAATCGATATACATTAAATTGATTTGGATACTCGACTATTAAAAAATAAAAAATAAAAAAATAAGCCAACTCACATGGCCTCATGGCTTCCCCACCATGTAGCTAGCTGCTACTTTCCTTCACATGGCCAGAATCTGTAGCCAACTCGTACAATATAATATATAAATTACATATATATAAATTCAAATACCATGAAAATAATGTCTGATACGATAAAGAAGCTTTTGTGGTGCAAAGCAAGAAAAAAATGCAATAATTGAAAGGGATGGTAAAGAACCAGAGCAGCTGTGGAAAGGAAGAGGGACCACTGCCGCACGAAAGAGGGAAAGGGGAAGCCTAGGCGGTGGTGGAAAGAGGGTCATAGGGAAGGAAGGTTGTTTGTTTCTGATGACCTTGACAAGGAAAATAATCACCTGAGGCACACAAAAGAAAAAAGAAAAAAAATGTGTTTATAAAAGTGACTGACGTGGCACTCCCTGGTTGGCTTTCTTACTTAGACCTCAAATATTTTATCAATATTTTTCTCATAATATTTTATATAGATGTGGAATTCATACCATGTGAATTTTATGTAAGTTCTATATCTATGCAAGACATTTAATAAAACTTTTTATAAAACATTTGAGATCCCTAGTACTTACTTATGTATGTTGCTAATACTAATGCAATTATGACTTGTGGTCATTATAAAATTTTTGAATAAATTATAAATACATCTCTTTATATTTGTTTAAAATATAAATTGTTTTTAAAATTTTAAAAATTATATCTCGTCCCTTTAAGTTTTTAATTGCATAACAATTAATTATTTTTATTAATAAATTATTGTGTCAATTAATATTTTTAATGATATCATCAATATATTTTAATTAATAATTTTATTATTATATAAGAGAGTAATTAAGGATTTTATTTTATTTTTTTGTTAATTTTGTTAAATATATATGTATTTTTCAGGATTTGATAGTATGAGTATGCCCAAGTGACAAGATGGTGGAGACTTCTGATTGGAGCACAAAAGCTCATTGATGTCATGTGTTTTTTTTAGGTAATAAAGAAAGTTAAACGAACAGAAGATTAAAAAATAAAAGAGAGGGTTAATTCTCTAATACACAATTCTAACCATATCAACCACTAGAATGGGCTTAACAAAATAGGGGGTTTTTATAAATTTTCAAGTCTTTCATTTGGTTTTCTCCCATATAAGCAACGACATCTGCACACTGATTGGCTTCTCAAAAAATGTGTTTGATAATGCAGGCCATACGAGAGGTAAGAAATTTAATATCTTCCCCAAGAGCACGATAAGGGTAGTTTGGATGATCTCCTTCATTGAGGAGGTTGACAACATCTTGATGGTCTGTTTCAATTATCACATTTCTCTAACCTTTTTCATGAATAGTGATTGTTCCACGATAAATAACTTATATTTCTGCTTTGAAGCTTGTTGCTGCATCCAACTTTTCAAGGTATCCTAAAATCTAAGAACTTTTCGCATCTCTAAAGAGTCCTCCAAAATCAACTTTTTCCCAACTTTCCTTGGCACATCCATTAACATTGATATTACCTGTAGGAGGAGGCATTTAGCTTGTTATGTGTTGAAGCTTCACATAAGCTCGTTGATGTTATGCGTTGAAGTTTCAGAACTATTACACACAAATGTATATAATTTATTTAAATAGTTTTATGAGAAAAAGATTATTTTTTACTATTGAAGGATATTTAAAGATTCTCAATATAAAATAAATTATAAATTTAAAAATGCTACATATATAACTTTATTTTTCGTAAAATTTATATTTTTTAAAATTTCTAGTCGAGATCTATTCAACAAAAGAATTCGAAATTTTGAGGAGAAAAAAAAAAACACTGAATTTTCTATCATTGGATAGTGCAATTTTACTGACAAGATTCAGTGAAATAAGTGAAACTTTACTATCAATGGCCAAGGTAGATCATTTACATATTCTTTTCTTCTAATTGTCCTTTTGCTTTAGCTTTTTATTTTAACCTATCATGCTTTTCCTTTTGCTTTAACTTTTGATTTGCCTATTGCTTTAGCTTTTGATTTGCCTTGACATCAATCACTATCATTGAAGTCATATCCAGCGATCACAAAACATGGGAGGAAGAGAGAGCAAGATAAATTCTTCAATAATGTTTGTTTTAAATATTATTTTCAATGAAAATAAGAATAATATGAATGAAAGACATTGCCTAGAGGCGTGACTACTGGAAAACATGCCTCAACTCCATTTTTTCATAAACGTGGTTTTGAAAAAAATTATAAATAAATAAAATAAAAAAATACAAAATACAAAGATCATATTTGGTTTGTTTTTTAATTTTTTTTAAAAATATAAATTAATTTTATAAAATAAATATCAAAAAATATTTTTAAATTTTAAAAAATTATATTTAGCCTTCTAAAATATAAAATTATATAAAAATAATAAGTATTTTAATTTTTAGTCAAGGATAAAAGAGTCTTTTTATTTTATTTCTCAACTCAAGATAATCGAACCCCTACCTCATTACTAATAATTCTACAAATTTATTGGATTAATTATCCATTAGATTAATAATCATAAAACAAAATTTCAAAATTAACACAGAATTATTGGGTCCTCATCTCAATCACCTAAGAGTCTTCCCACTTTTAAAGTAGTAGTAGATAAGATATCTGTGGATCTGTTTCAGTTTTATATAATGGTTATAGATGAGTATCATAAACCAACCCATTCATTTTAGAGAGAGAGAGAGAGAGAGAGAGAGGGATGAGCAGTAGTAGGAGGAGGAGGAGGGGGAAGGAGAGAGTGAGATGGATACAACACTACAACAATGGGCAGAAGATATTGTTGGTTGGTGAAGGTGACTTCTCATTTTCAGCATGTTTAGCTAGAGCTTTTCGCTCTGCTGTTAACATGGTTGCAACTTCTCTTCATTCTCAAGGTCAGTCCAACGAGAGATAACATTTTGTTTAATATGGTTATAATTTTGGATGCTTCATATCCCTTCAATATTTTATCAAAATTTGAAATTTTTTGTGTTGGAAACAACAAATACAAAAGTGTTGGTCAATTTTTCTTTTTTAAAAATTGGATGTTTGTGGTTATCTTACATGCACTTTGGCTAATCACACAATTTTAAAGTTAATATCTCACTACAATATATGACACTTTTAGCAACTAATTTTGTCTCTAATACTAGTATTTTTTGTCTCCAATTACATTTAGTGACGAAATAAAAATCGTCACTAGAATCGTCAGGAAAACCTTGTCCCAGAAAAGTCAAATTAACCTTTTTGTGACAATTTTTTTTATAATGTCACTAAAACTGAGAATCAGTGATGATTTTCCTTCCGTGCCTAAATGTTTAAATTTTCAAAACTAAATATTTCTTCGGCAATAATTTGTCCCTAAAAGATTGTTTTTAGGGACAAAATTCAATTGGTGCCTAAAAATTAGTCTCTAAATCTCTAATTCCTTGTAGTGACTGGACAAAATTTTATTAGCTCTTTTAATAATTTTTTTTGATGTGACATTTGAATTTTTTAACCAATAAGAAAAAAAAAATTCATTTTTTGAGCTAAAAAATTAAATTTTTTAGATATTGCCAAAGAGTAATGTTAGAGACCCCAAATATTCTACCAAATGAGGTCATCTATATATGCATTTAATATTTTTTTCATACATCTTGTGTTATACTTTGATTTTTATGCAGAGTTGTTAAGGGTGAAACACTGGACAAGTCAAGCAGAATTGCAGACATTGGAGAGACTAGGATGCCTAATTTTGCATGAAGTGGATGTGTATGAGATGGGCTACCATCCCACACTAAGTCGCATGAAATTCGATGTTGTAATATTTAATTTTCCTCATGCAGGCCATTTTTATGGCTTTTGTGAAAGAGATGAAGAGCTTATTGAGTAAGGCTTCATTTGTTTCGACTTTAAATTGATTTTACACAGAAAAAATATTTGGTTTTTGATTTTTGGCATTTGATTAACACTTGAAACAAAAAAAATTATTGCCTAAAAGAGAAATTTTAATTCAATAAAATGTCATTTTTGACTTTTTAGTGAGCTAAAATATTTATTTGAAAAGGCTAAATGTGTTGAAAAGGTAGTGAGTAAGAGTCAACTTTGTAAAAATCAACTTACAAAATTTTAAAGGTAAGTTATTGTTAGAAAATGATGCAAAAATATTTTCCTTAAAAAATGTTTACTTGCTTTTTATTCAACAAAACAACAAAAAATAAATAAAATATTTTATGTCAAAGCAAATGGAGCCTAAGTGTAGTGAGTTTATTTCAACTATCTACTAATGTTATGTACCCTGGAGAATGAAATTTATTTACTTTTGAACTAAAAACACTGAAATTCATTGGAAAGCCAATTTTTAGTAATAAAAAAAATTATTTGGGCCAAAAAATATTTTTTTTACTTTCAACGGGTAAAAAATATTTTCTAAATTGAGTCTTATTTATGCTACCACATTACCACAACTGTTTCGACCTCCATCTTTTTCACCACCTTTTGCCACTTCCACCACCAGCATCACCACCACAAATACTACCACCAACACCACCATCATCAAGAAAAGTTGTAATCACTAGTATATTAGTTTTAATATCATAATCACTCTTAGGAAAATATTTTGGGAGAATTTCCTCTTAGTATAAAATCTGAGAATTAAATACAAATTAGTGATAAATTTTTATCAATATTAATAATTAAAATTATAAAAATTTTCGTACATATGTGATAATTTTCTCAAATTATAACTGAGAGGTAATTTTCCCAAATATTTTTTATGAAAATAATTTTTATGTAAAAAAATTGTTCGTCAAGACTAACAGAGTACAAATTTAGTGACAATGATGTCTGGCTTAGTTCCAAAAAAAAAAAAAAAGATGTCTGGCTTGAAGTACTCCAGCTAAAACACCCATCAATATGACTCAAAATTTTATAAATGTGGCTATCAATCAAGTTGAGTTTCTGATGTTTTATTTTTTTATTTTATATAAGAATCCTGTTTACAAATAATTTTTTTTAAAAACAACATGATTTGGGTGTATTATTGAGAGACAGGATGCACAGGGAGCTTTTGACAGCTTTTTTAGAGAATGCAAGAGATTTGCTGGAGGAAGGCGGTGAAGTGCATGTCACACACAGGGATGACTATCCTTACAACACATGGCGTTTGGAAAAGCTAGCTTCAAAAACTGGCTTTAATTTGAAAGAGAAAGTGGGGTTTGAAAAGGAGAACTACCCAGGATACCATAACAAGAGAGGTGGTGATATCAACTGCAACAAGCCATTCCTTCTCAAACTCTGCTTCACTTTCAAATTCACTCTCAAGAAAAGTTATTTGCCGAAGAATAATGTCATTGACCACAACGCTCAAATGGTGAAGAAGATTGACACCGTAAGTGGTGACAGGGTGAAATGTATCGTTAAAAGTTCTATGTCAATGAATGATGTCGTTGACGACCACGATAAAATGGTGAGGAAGATTGACATTGTAAGTGGTGACAGGGTGACATGTATTGTTAAAAGATCTTTGCCGATGCATGCTGTCGTTGACGACCACGATAAAATGGTGAGGAAGAATGACATTGTAAGTGGTGATAGGGTAAAATGTATCGTTAAAAGTTCTATGCCGATGAATGATGTCATTGACGACCATGACAAAATGGTGAGGAAGAATGACATTGTAAGTGGTGATAGGGTGAAATGTATCGTTAAAAGTTCTATGCTAATGAATGATGTCATTGACGACCACGACAAAATGGTGAGGACGATTGACACGGTAAGTGGTGACAGGGTGGAATGTATCGTTAAAAGTTCTCTGCCGATGAATGATGTCGTTGACGACCAAGATAAAATGGTGAGGAAGATTGACAACGTAAGTAGTGAAAAGGTGAAATGCATCGTTAAAAGTTCTATGCCGATAAATGATGTTGACGACCACGATAAAATGGTGAGGAAGATTAGTGGTGATAAGGTGGAATGTATCGTTAAACGTTCTACGCTCGTGAATGATGTCGTTGATGACGACGATAAGATTGATACTGTAAGTGGTGACAGGGTGGGATGTATTCTTACTGCTCTCTCTTTTTTTATACCATGGTTATTAAAATTGCGATCTGGATCGTAGGATCGTACGATCCTACAATCCTATGTTGCTAAAACGATCCATATCATTGTAGGATCGATATTGTAACGGGGTTGTATAGGATTGTAGGTAAGATTGTAAGTATGATCGTAAATTTTGTGATTTTTCACTTTAGTTTTAATATGTATCATTCTAAATTGTATTTTTATCTTTTTTGTAATAGAAAATAGAATTTTACAATTATCAACCCGATCCTACATCTGATCCACGAGGCCCTCTTACTGATCCTACCTAAAATCCCGATTTTAACAACCTTGGTACTAGTATTCTTACTAGTCTGCAGTTTTTTTTTTTTTTTTTTTTGTTTTGGGTACATCGGATTGAACTGCTCTGCAATGTTTATATATATATATATTTTTTTTGTTTTGGGTACATCGGATTGAACTGCTCTGCAATGTTTATATGTTTGGTCTAAATTAGTTATTGGACGTGCTCTGTGTTTTTTAAATTTAAACATACTGAAAAATGAGAACAGCCTTGTTGTGTGCTTGCATCTTCTGAAATGGTAGTATTCAGGAAAACAAGATTTATGTTTTTGAATCAAGGATTGGTAGCCAGTCGCGGAGCCATTACATTTATCCAGAAGGGGCAACTTTTAATCATAACTTTGATATTTTTTTTTTTTTTTTGAGCAATCAACAATAATAAAATAATTTTAAGTATTTAAGTTAATAATAATTTGTTTATCAATTTTATTTTAGCCCCTTGAGAGCACATGTGAACTTGAGGATACCCAACTATTTTATCAATAATGCTATGATCATATTTTTTAAAAATAACTTGGTATTTGGCTCATTTCCACGATTAATTTGAGAAATCAATTCCATCGTTCATTTTGTGGGGTCCAATTAAAACAGGAGTAAAGCTTCTTATGAACTGATTTCAAAAAATTATTTATAACTAAGAGATTTTAAACTTGATTTGTCTATTATGCATCATTGCATTGGTTTATAGGATCTCACATTATTCATGTATGTGTGTTACCAATTCAATTGTGATAGGCTTGAGTCTTTTAATTGAGTTTTAAAAAAAAGAAAGTCTTTTAATTTGGCCATGGGTATGTGGGTAGTTGCGTAGAATAAATTGCTTCACATACTTTTATAGTAGGTTAACATTACATATATTGTGATTGGTGTAAAATAATAAATTCTATACCCAAAATGTGTAATGACCACCCCACTTAAATGTACAAATCTTATTATAGAGGTAATATCATTTTGCCTCTTAAACTTTCACGCATTTTTAATTTGACCTCCAAACTTCAATTAATATTAATTTTATATCCAAACTTTTAAAATTTTGATCAATTTGCCCTCTGCCGTCATATTCCGTCTACAATTGGATAGAATGTGCCGACGCAGCATCAAAGTTCATTTAGAATTTCATTTTACTGTCCAAACTATACCTTAAAAATCAATTTGCCTCCCAAATATAAAAAAATTAAATTTACATATTTAATAGATAATTTTTTATCTCAATAATGAAAAAAAAAATTGAAATAATATATACTTTGCAAAAAAAAAAAATATAAAAAATATAAAAATTGATTAAATGGTTTAATATGTTTGTAAATATTTAATTTTTATTTTGGAATAATACAAAATTGATTAAATTGTTACATTTGTTAAATTCAACATACAATTGACATTTAATGCCAAAAGTACAGGATAAACCAAAATTAAATATTATTATATTAAATAACTTACAAATCATAACTTAATCTTAAAACCATACTAAGGCCTCGTTTGGGAACAGGCTAATTTAGTAACTTTTTCACTATTTGGCTAAAATATGAGCTAAAAAAAACTAGTATGTTTGTGATGACTTTTTACTAAAAGATGTGTAAAAAATAGAGAGAAAAGAGAATCTTTGACTTTTTGGTATGGATTGTTGGCTTTTTGGTTAATTTAGTAACTTTTTGACTTTTTGGTTAAAAAGAAAGGCTCCCAAACGAGGCCTAAGCACAAAACTAAAAATGAAAAAGAAGTCTAGTAAAAATAATTTTATCTTTATAGTAAAAGAAAAATATTGTTTCGACTGAGGTACAATATTGCTTACATATATACTAAATGTGTCTGGGTATGCCAAAAATTAAGAAAGAAAATTTTGAGTACATATTTTGTATACTCGGTACGTATGCAGAAATATCATACGTTAGTAAGTATCCAGCACAGGTACGACATGTTTGTCGAACTCTTCATACTTCAAAATCTCAAGATATTTCTAAATAATAAGTTATATATTTTTTATTATTTTTTGGCAAAGTATAGATTATTTAAATTTTAATTTTTTGGACAAATTACAGCAATGGTCTCTATAGTTTACCTGTGATTTCATTTTAGTCTCTATACTTCTAATTGCATCAATTTTGCCCCTACATTTTGGTTTTTGGCTCAACGTGGTCCAATAGTTAACCACCGTTAACTTTTTTGACGGAAACCCGCGCATGCCTTGCACACACGGGATGAAATCAATCACTTTTTGGAGTGTACTGTACTTAAAAAAAAAAAAAGAAAAAGTATCACTTTGCTTGGTTTCCAGTTTTCCAAAACACTTTTCAAAAAATTCTACTTTCTTATTTTCCGTGTTTTTTTGTTTTTACTGAATTTTTTTAATATTTTAAGCAATTTTTTTTTTACTTTTTAGACACACCTAACATAAATACAGAGGACATAATAAAAAATTCCACCGTAAGACATTTCATCGTCTTATAAAACAGTTGATCCTAAAAAGATGCCAATTTTTATTTTTATTTTTCTTTCTGTTTCCATACAAAAGTACTGTTTTCCATGTATTTTGCAGAAATTGAAGGATGTCCAAGATTTTCTGAGGGTTCCACAGAGGGATCTGAAGAGTCAGCAAGTGAAGATACACAAAGGTTCATTGTCCCAACACGTTGAGAACTGGGATGATATCCAGAGAGCACTCTACGGAACGCCATATGAAAGCTTCCTCCATTCAGATTATAACATGTAAAACTTGCGTGCGCCCAGAGACACCAGAGACACCTGGTAGATCTAGTATGGATGTGGATAATGATCCATTTTTTCATTTTTTGGAAGCAAATTATTTTACAAAAGCTTTTGTAATACAAGTTGGTCTAGTTGATAAGAACAAGGCTATGTGTGACTTTTGGCTGGTGTTGATTTTTGCTGCCATAGGACTGCTGATTTTTTGGTTGAGAATTATGAATTTAATTTTTGAATATGTTATTTTGTGGGTAATGATGATTGGATATTAAATTGAATAGGAAAGTGAATTAATGCTGCATTTATAATTTGAATGGGAGTTATTATTTCATATTACGGCTATTCAATTTTATTATAGGTATTTTTTTAGTTTAATCACATAAAATTAGCATAATTTCAAAAAAAAAAAAAGAGGATTTCACGGCGTTTTTAAAACGCCACCTAAACTCCAAAAAGTTAACGGTCAATTTAAAAAAAAAAAAGATATGACGGCATTTTGAAAACGTCGCTAAAATCATAGTGACGTCATGGTAGGGACATTTCACGGCGTTTCTAAAAACGCCGCCTATTCTAATATCGCGACGTTTTTAAAACGTCGTAAAGATACAGCGACGGCCGCAGCTTCGACGTTTGGTACTAAACGTCGCAAAAGGAATTAGCGGCGTTTTTGAAAGATATAGCGGCGTTTCTTAAACGCCGCTAAAAATCTGTTTTCCAGCAGTGTATGTAATAATTTTCTCAAATTATAACTGAGAGGTAATTTTCCCAAATATTTTTTATGGAAATAATTTTTACATAAATTTTTTTTCCGTCAAGACAGAGTAAAAATTTAGTGACAAATGATGTCTGGCTTAGTTCAAAAAAAAAAAAAAAAAAAAAAAAAAAAAAAAAAAAAAAAAAAAAAAAAATTTGCTGGCAGTTGAAGTACTCCAGCTAAAACACCCATCAATATGACTCAAAATTTTATAAATGTGGCTATCAATCAAGTTGAGTTTCTGATGTTTTATTTTTTTATTTTATATAAGAATCCTGTTTACAAATAATTTTTTTTAAAAACAACATGATTTGGGTGTATTATTGAGAGACAGGATGCACAGGGAGCTTTTGACAGCTTTTTTAGAGAATGCAAGAGATTTGCTGGAGGAAGGCGGTGAAGTGCATGTCACACACAGGGATGACTATCCTTACAACACATGGCGTTTGGAAAAGCTAGCTTCAAAAACTGGCTTTAATTTGAAAGAGAAAGTGGGGTTTGAAAAGGAGAACTACCCAGGATACCATAACAAGAGAGGTGGTGATATCAACTGCAACAAGCCATTCCTTCTCAAACTCTGCTTCACTTTTAAATTCACTCTCAAGAAAAGTTATTTGCCGAAGAATAATGTCATTGACCACAACGATCAAATGGTGAAAATGATTGACACTGTAAGTGGTGACAGGGTGAAATGTATTGTTAAAAGTTCTATGTCGATGAATGATGTCGTTGACGACCACGATAAAATGGGGAGGAAGATTGACGTTGTAAGTGGTGATAAGGTGGAACCTATCGTCAAAAGTTCTATGCCCATGAATGATGTTGTTGACGACGATGATAAGATTGACACTGTAAGTGATGACAGGATGGGATGTATTCTTATTGCCTTCTCTTTTTTTATACCATGGTTATTAAAATTGCGATCCGGATCGTAGGATCGTACGATCTTACAATCCTACGTTGCTGAAACGATCCATATTATTGTAGGATCGATCTTATAACAGGATTGTATAGGATTGTAGGTAAGATTGTAAGTATGATCATAAATTTTGTAATTTTTTATCTTATTTTTAATATGTGTCATTCTAAATTTTATTTTTATCTTTTTTTAATAGAAAATAGGATCTTACAATTATCAATCCGATCCTACGCCTGATCTTACAATTATCTTAGAAAATAGGAAGATTGACAGTGTTTATTTATTTTATTTTTTTTGGGTACATTGGATTGAACTGCTCTGCAATGTTTATATGTTTGTTCTAAATTCTAATTAGTTATTGGACGTGCTCTGTGTTTTTTAAATTTAAACATACTGAAAAAGTGCCTTGTTGCTCAACAATAATAAAATAATTTTAAGTACAAAATTAAAAATGAAAAAGAAATCTAGTAAAAAGAATTTTATTTTTATAATAGAAGAAAAATATTGTTTCGACTAAGGTACGACATTGCTTACATATATACTAAATATGTCTGGGTATGTCAAAA